TGTTTTCCATCACCTGGGTGATCAGTTCCCTGCATTACTTTTCTTCTTTTTGAAAAACTGAGAGTGGTTTCTGTTTTCCATGCTAGATGCTGAAGGACAGAATATTCATGAAGTTGATAAAGTGGAACACACTGGCAAAGAAACACAGAAGTACAGAAACACTGGGAAGCAGGAAATTTTTCAGGGGTACTTTATCTACCGTGAGCTTTCAAAATAATTTAAAATAATACTTGAGTTAGAAAGATAATAGCTGCTTATTTTAGAAAAAAAAGCAAATGTCAGAAAGATGTTTCTAGTACTTACTATTAATATACTTCTATATCGTACTTATATACTTGACTGTACTGTTTGGGAGGGTGGTTTTTACACTTAACCAACTAAATTTCAGCTTGTTAGGTTGCAGCTATAAATGACAGCATAAATACCAATTTAGCATTAATTCTATGATAGCAGAGCTGGAGAGAGGTGAGAAAGAGAGGAATGAGGATCCCATAATCAAGGCTTAACTCCCTCTCCTACTGAATAAAAAACCAGCAGGAGGCACTGACCGTTGCTAAGGAGAAACAAGCTGGCTGTATGTTCTGAGGGCTTTCTGCTAGCAAGGGACAAGAAGAGAGGGAGAGAAGGTCTTTTCCTCCAGATTGGCTGAATAATTCCTTTGAAATAAACGGAGGCATCCGCCTTCATATTCCACATTAATTCCTACTTAATTTCTCTTCACAGACATATCTCTTGGGCTGTCTCTTTATCCATGAGCACGGAGCACTGTTTTACACTGCATATAAGGATGCCAGGGTATTGCTCACATGACTTTAATTAAATCTTACAAATCTATTATATTCTTCATGGTAATTGATACATTCCAACCTTGAAGATACATAAATTAAATATTTAATAATCACTTAATTTGAAAGAATTTATCTCCAAAGATATAAAATATTCTAGATTTGGAAAAAATGGAGAGTGTATCCCATCTATCACATAGCCAACCAAGAATGCCTGTATGCTAGCCAATAATCATTATGAATTCATTCATAAAAATCATCATTAAAATACATGCCTCAAATTCTCTGCATTATTTGCTTTCCCGTTAGTTAGTATCTAGTCTATCACTTTAAGATTCCAGGAAGGGATCATAGAGCAAATGAGGGTCTCCTTCTTAAAAGGAAGATATCTTAAGTTTTGCAAAGACTGCGGACAGCCCTCCTTCTGGAGGCCAAAGAAGAGTGGAGCAAACTCACTCCCCAGCTGCTGAGGCAGACTTGGCAGACCTCGCTGAATGACCGAATTCCAAGGCCAAATAACTCTACAGCTTGTTGCGTAAGCCTCAGTCTCACGGAGCACGCTTGGAGTGTCCCATTTTTAAAAGAGATTTAAAATAATAATGCATTTGACAACTCTCTGCTATAGCTGTTTAAAATCAGAATATGTGATCAAAACCTATCTCAGTTTGAAGTTGATAACAAGGTATCAAGAAAGACTACAAAATTATGGACTGATCAATAGAATGTTGAGAAAATATATATGGTGCAGAGTATTGGCCATGTATAAAAGAAATCCATTTTTTCCAGTTTAATTATTAATTACAGTGCTTTTGTGCCTGAAAAAATACTTGCTTTCTATTTCAATTTCTAAATAATTGCTCATTAGAGACATCTATCCTGTCCCTGAGCACAGAGCACGGTTCGTACAACACATGTGAGAATACAAGGATATTATTCACATGACTTTCTCTCCTTTTATCTCTCTTCTTCCTCCCTTCTCTTTCTCCTTTTCTCCTTTCTCCCTGTCACTCTACTTTTCTTCCTGCTCATCGTCCTCTTCTTCTGCTTCATGTTTTTTTATTTAGCATGAACCTCACCCTGACCCTCCCTCAAGTTCCAACCCCAGACTTGACACCCATTCCTTTCCTTCTCTACAAAGTGCCTTAAAAATCTATCTGTACATATATTTTAGCTCTTTAAACCACTTGAAATTGAGAACCTCATTTTAAAATTTTATTGTTACTTGTGAGAATTGGTGATAATATCCCAGTGTCATAGTGATTAACAAAATTGACAATGACAATGTTGGAATATTACAAAGAAAATCCATCAGCTATTGGAAACTAGTTATGATGTACAATAGTCAAAATAAAATCTATCCATTATCCTCAGATTATAATCAGGTTTGTAGTCATATAACAAAGTTTCTGCAGTTATCAGAATAACTCAAATCAACCCAAATTTGCATGGGAGATACTAGTCAGCACCTCAGGCTCACTGTGAGTGAGGTTTGGGCATCCCTTAAAAGAAAATTATTTCCACTATCGATCATAGGCAATGAGGGACTGGAAGCCTAGGGGAAGGAGGCCTTAAGATGAGATAAGGAAGAAAATGATTGGACTTGGTCTGGGGCCAGTGGTCTGTCTGGATCTCAGCCTTAGAGCCATGAGAATTCTGGTGCGGTGGCCAAGGAAGAAAAAGCTGGAAGCCACTGGGTCTGGGTCTAGAGAGGCTGTAAATATTCTATGTGTTTTCCTTCCATTGCCTCATTCCCTACTCCTTTGTTGTTTTCTTTAAAGGCATATCCTGGTCTCAGTTGCACAATGAGTAATTAGAAAGAGATCTGTGCTTTAGGACTGAGTAAAGGGGTAGTGAGAGCAGTTCTCCTGTCCGGAGTCTGGAATGGGCAGTGGCAGGCTCAGAGGCAGCAGAGGCAGCGGCTCGGGGGACTATGAGAGGCCTAGCAGAAGAACCAGCCAGAGGGCAGCCAGAGGGCAGCCAGAGGGTGCCTCAGGTCTAAGTGCCCCGGAGCAAAACACTGGGAAACTCTCAGGAAAAGCCAGCGGACCTGGTTTCTGGCAGACTAAGTACGTGGGAACTCAGTGTGGTTTGGGTTACATTTATGTCCATATCAAATTTAAGGAAGATTAAACTAATTCACAGAATACTCAGATAATAGGAAACTCTACAGTGAGTTCTATGGATTTTAATCCAACATAGTAAACATTCATTCAGTGTTTTTTTATGAATAGAAAAGGAAGTTATAGATAGTGTTCTTGAGGAATTTACAATCTATAGTAAAAAACTCCAAATAAAATAGGAAATCATAAGGGCCTTAAAAATAAGTAAGCATTTTACTAAGTACAGCAGAAATAAATATGTATTTCTGAGATGCGGAATCAGGTAAGGTTTAATTTGCTCCATGATGGACACAGTAATAACAGAATCTAAAGAAGGGTCCGGATGACACAGATCTAGGTATGGAACCCATCGCAATCATGTACCAGTCAGGAGTCACGTGCAGATACAGGCAACAGAAAACCCAATGTTTTCTTAAAGTTAACCAAATTAAGTCTTCATCCTTTTACCCAAAAAGAACTGCTGGACAGGTGACAGGGAAGCAGCTCCCAGTCCCAGCCGCCTTTCCAGGCTCTTTCCATCTTTTTTGTTCCACCTTCCTTAGTGTTCAACTCTCAGTCCCATAGTCTCAAATTTGTTCCTGCTTCACCAGGCATCGCAGCCCCAGTTCCTCAAAAATTAGAAAGAAGACAAAGCCATGGAAGAAACAGGAAAATGTTGCCCAAATCCTCAGCAGACTGCCACTTAAGTTCCTTGGTTAGAACTGTACCCCCAAATTGCTATAGGAGAGGTTGGGATATGCAGTTTTTTGTTTTGTTTTGTTTTAGCTGGTTATGCTGTTTACCCCATTCCCCCACTACCAGCAAAAAAACAAAAAACAAGAAAAACCACGAAAACAGGTTCTGCTAAGGACAAGAAGGAAGAAAGAGCATTAAGTTGGTAGCTACCAGAATGTACCACATACCACTTATTAGCTATGCGGGCCAGAGTAAAAATCGCCAACATTACTGATTAGCAGTTTCTTCATCTGTGAAAAAGATGTAATAATATCTTCCTACTAGGGAGGGATTCGAGACCATGTATTTAGGAGGCTCACAATGGTCCTAATGTGTTAGGAGCAGCTGCTATTATTATTGATTGCTGGGTTGATTCATTAGTTGGTCTGTTAATTAGAAGTCAGGTTTCAGTAGGTAAGTACTGGAAGAATAAAACTTTAGATGAAGAAAACAAGATTGCAAAAATGTGGAATGAGAAAAAAATATGTAAGAAAATGCAGCGTGTGTTCAGAAAATTTTGTATCGTTTAGAAAGACTCATTCATGTGAAAGAAAAAAAGCGGGTGGCCAAGCTAGGGAGGGAGGTTGGAAGTGAGATGTCATGAGACGGGTGTTGGCGGTGGGGGAGAGAAAGGTATAGAGCCAGGTGAGGGAGCCTGCGTGTCTTGGCAGCTGGCGTGGAACTGCTGCAGTTTAGGTGCAGGATCCGTGCCAAGCGGGGCTTTATGCTGCTCTGACAGCAGAGATACACCTGGGAGCTGGAGATACACCAAATCAAGGAGGGGGATAGGAGAATGACTTTATATCCAAGCAAATCATAATAAAAACCTGAAGTAAGATCGCAGCAAACAGGATGGAAAAGAGAGACTAATGCAGGAGTCGTTTTTACAGCAATAAGTGAAAGATTTCACATCCGATCGAATGCAAAGGGTCAGGGAAAAGAGGGTGCTAAGGTAGCCAGCTAGAAGGTGAGCCGGGCCGTGACCCAGGGTGGAGGGCGGAGAGCGGGCCCTGGGAAAAGGGAACAGCACTTCTAAAGTGAAAGGAAAGAATGGAGAGGGAAGTCGAAGGCTGGGGAGAGATGGAAAAATACTGGGAGTAGAAGTGCTTCTTCGTGTAAAATAAGATGCATACAATGGTTATATTCTATGGGGTTGTTTAATCTGTGGAAGGAATTATCTCAGGCAAAGTAATGACTCTGTAACAGCTAGACACCTAATACTAGTCCTGTGCTAATCTGGCTGTGTGACCAGGCACGCTGAGTACACTTTGGAACATTTATTTGCTGTTGCAGCTGCATTACCATAGAAATAGCCCAAAAGCATGCAAAAGAGTTCCTGAAAGAAATTCCCACACCCTAAGTGTTTCACTCTTATTAAGATGCAAAATTAGTCTTCTGGAAATATTTGGGCACTTTTAGCCCTTCCTAGAGACAGAGGGATGAGTTCATGTACCTCTCCGGTGTGGCTTGCAGTGTCCAGATCATGTGATCATGGGCGCTGGACCCAGTTTCAGCAGTTAACGGGCGCAGTGGAATCCCAAGGAGAAAGTGGACTGGGGAATTGCTGCGTGAGTCAAGGCGTGTTGTCATTTTGAGAAGAACAGGGTAAGGAACTTGACTGGTCTACTGACAGAATTGTTTGCTTATCACTTTTAGCACCAGACATTTAACACTGGGCAGGGAACACCTTTGAAAAATGATAACCCCAGACAGTTTAGAATTAACAAATGTTTTCATCTCCATGTCTGGGGTTTTTGCTCACTTAGATCTGAACATTGTCTATAGCTTTAAACCACCTAAATACACGCTTAAGGCTGCAGAAAGGGATAATTAGATTCCAGAATCATATTTTTGAAGACTTATTCCCAAAATGATTTTAGTGACATCTTTTTGCACAGGCACAATTCTTTTAGTTAACCATTCAGTATTATTTCAAGTACAATGTTAGTTCATTGTAAGCTTCAGAAACCCCTTTTAAAAATGTCATGTGTTTTGGAATTTGGGGTAACTTCAGAGATAACCCTTTCTCCCTAAATGAAGTCACAGGAATTTACAAAAGCATTTAGTTTGGTACCTGCTCTGCCTCAGGCATGTAATTAGTGCTGATGTAAAAAAGGTGCAATTTTATTATGCTGAATTATCTTACTTGGCATGTGTGATTAGAACTAAACAGTTCCCGGAGTCAAAGTGTTAGTAAATAAATTCAATAAATTCCCGGAGTCAAAGTGTTTGTAAATAAATTCAATAAATTCCCGGAGTCAAAGTGTTTGTAAATAAATTCAAATAAAAAATATTAGAGGGCTGGTTGATGGGAAATCACATTTTTTTTTCTTTTTAGATTTTATTACATGTAAGGTCACAGATCCCATGAGCTTATGGCACTTAACCTAAACGCAGTGAAAGTAATAAGCTGGACATATAATAATATTCATAAATCACCTTATAATAGAGAAAGACTGTTTGGTGACATATTCTCACTCAAGTGGCAGCTGATTGAGTAAAAGCAGTCAGTCCTCTTTCCCCATCATATTCCTGCAAGTACTCTGTTAGTCTTTGATTCTCTCTCTGAGGTTCCCAACTGCTAAAGTAATAATGCCTTCCTTATAGAGATTTTTTGGCATAAATATCAATGAAAGAAATAAAGATATCTGTAATAATCTCCTTCTACATCCCCATAACCACATATTTATAGACTTAAAAAGTAATGGTTAAGTCAAGGTCATCCAGTTAGAGATTATTGTTTTTTAACACTAAGTCTAGTCTTCCATTCATTACCTTATCTTTATTACCTTAAAAATCACACTCTGCATGTATTATAAGTTTAAAGTTTGTAAAACACTGGTTAGTATCTGAATCAAGGTATCATGCCTTAGAACAGCTTGCTTAATAAACCCATTTACTCATTACATAATGCCAAGTTAAAAGAATTCAAAGAATTCCGATTAGGATGCTTTTAGTAATTTCCATTATAACCTACTGAATTACATTACATTTAAATTAAATTACAAGTTGAAATGAAGCTGAAATAACTCTGTAACTGGTGCTGTTACAGCTAATGAAAAGGTTTCAATCTTAACACCCATCTCTGGAACACTTATTTTCACGAAAGTGAGTTCCATTTGCCAAGTACTGATGAGACACTTGTGGGACTTAAACTTTGTGTTTGAATTCTTCTTAAGAAAATCACAGTACCAGGCAGGCTCAGAGAAGTGTGGGATACGGATGAGATTCCAATTAGCACTGATTTTGATTTTAATGTAGATCTTCAACTACATCCCAGAGCCTGTGCCAGGCCTCCTCACAAACATTATGACATTTAATTCTCTCTCAAATATGGCGGAGTAGGCGTGGCAATCTCCACTTCACAGCTGATGAAATTTCAGGTTCCGCCTCTTAGTTTGATATTTTGTCCATAAGCTTCATTGTTGTAAAATAAGTTGATGCTGTCTGCACCTTGCACTGGGGACAAAGAATAAGCTATGTGGTAAAATTTGAACATTCATCATGAACTGGTTAATTCATTAATAAATTGTGCTGATAATATTAGCCTGAACAAATACACTTGAATTAAATGAAACCTTAGCTGAGCTATGGCAATGGAACATATTGTGGAAATTTATATGTTTCTGTGTTGTTTCAATGTTTATTAGTGTAAATATTAATGGTAACTAAAAACAAATACAATATAAGGAAATAGTGGGAAGACTTCAGAGAGATATCTTTAAAATTTGGCAATGTCCACTTAGTTAATTAGATGCTGGGTCTCCATAATATGTTTGGTGAATATCAATAATAATGATAGCAAATATGTATGTTGTATATTTTCAGATATATTAGTACATTTCATGTAGTTCCAAATCCCTAGTCTTGGAAAAAGTATTGGAGAAAGTGGCAAAAAAAAAATCAAATAAAACAGTTTAAGGAGATTTGGAAGGGAGAGGGTGAAAGAATTAGGCTAAAACTTAAATATGTTGGGTAGGGTACTCCTCATTACAGGAAAATAACTGAGCAATGACTTGAAGGAGGTGAAGGAACAGGCATACAGTTAACTGAAACTTAAAAAGGGTTCTGAATACTATCAGTTGCTATGAACTGTGGAATAATATCCATCTGTACATATCTAGTGAGGAAGGGATTTTAAGTTATTAAAATCTACTATTAACTTGAGCTTTTGGTTTGGTTTTTAGGCATTCCACTAACTTTCAGGTTACTCTGTTTTTTTTTCTTTCCTGTCAAATAAGGCAAGCTTTCATTACTCTTAGGTAAGAGATTAAGACTAATAAAGTAATGTAAAGAATGTATGTTTCTGACCCAGACCTCTCCCTTGGACTCCAGACCTAGAGCTCTAATTATTGACTCAACACCTCCACTTGGATGTTTTATAGACATCTCAAACTTATCATGTCCAAAATTAAGCTCCTAATATCCCGCTCAGCCCAGATGTGTTCATTTTATTTTTCAGTTCAGTTCAAGTGTGTTTTTCAAGTTTTCAGTGCCAAAATCTTGGTGCCATCCTTGATTCTTTTCTGTCTCTTATATTCCACATCTGGGCTCTTATCCCATCTTGACATCTCTGACTTTAAAGTATATCCAGAATTTAGCCATTGCCTCACATCCCACACCCATATTACTGCAATAACTTCCAAAGGTCTCCTTGCTTCACCCTTTATTCTCCTACAGACTGTTAAAACTTGTTTCAGATCATGTCATTTCTCACTAAAAAGCTGCCAATGGCTTTCTGACCCACCCAGAGTAAAAACCAAAGTCCAGCTCCGCTCTGCAGGGCCCTCCGTGTTCTGATGTTCCTTACCTCCTGCCCTCATCTCCTACTCCTTTCTTGTTCCAGGCAAACATCCCCCAGATAACTAATTCCTTTAATTCCTTTAGATTTTTTTTCAAAAGCCACCATCTCAGTGAGGGATTTCCCTCCGTGGAAAGCAGCCCGACCTCACCACCCAGCAATTCTAGTTGCTTTTCTCGTCTGCTTTCTTCTCCTCATCATTTCTCACTTTCTAACGCCCTCCTTAGCACTCTCATTTATTGTCTGCCTCTGACACTAACAACTCAAGTATGTATCTGAAACTAAGCCAAGCAGATAACATAAGTTCAATAAACTTTTACTGCATAAAAGAATACTGTATTTTAGAGGCATCCATTTGCCTCCAAGATAGTTATGATGATTACAATAGAAAGCCAAAGAAAAAGAAAATATTCAGCTTTTGACAAGCAAGGTGTAATTTCTCAGCTAGTTAAAGGCTTGAATACCCAAATTCGTTGGAAAATAAAATATTTTCCAAATCTTTAGCTCTCCTTAATGTATTAAGAACACGGTTGAGCAAATTGGATGGCAGGGTTTCCTTATAGACCATAGAGAAGAGGAAATCCATGATCTGGTATCACCAAGTGTTTCAGAAAGGAGGAAGGGGCAGGAAGCTTTTCTCTTCCACGAGAGGTGATTTGGGAAGGCGAAGACAGACAAAGGAAACATCTCTTCAAATGTACATCATGATCTGCCTACATCTCTCGGGACTAAAATCATGGAAGGGGAGACACCACTTAGGTTGAAAGGAGAGCCCGCAGCCGGAGATCTGTCCTCATCTCCCGCCTGCTGCACTGGGAGGACACCCCGTGAAACCATCCTCTCCCTGATCCCGGCACAGGGGGAAGAGAGTGGTCACAGTGTGGAGGCCGTGGAGGGAAGGAGTTAACGGGCGGTTACTATGTGGACGTCAAAGCGCTCCTGTGACAAAGGACTTCAAGGCGGGCACCCAGACCCAGAGGTAAGTGGAGGAACACCCAGAACAAATTGGGGGTATCTGTGGCCCTATGTAGAATCAAGATAGTATATGTAAGATAAATTTTAGCCAAAATAAGCAGGCAAAGAGAGGCAACAAAGGGCCAGGTAATTTATTTAAATACCCCTGGGTGAGGTTCTGCGGCCTTCTTGCCACAGGCCAGAGAAGTCACCCCCGGTTAGGGAAGTGGGAGGCTTATAAGGGGTTAGGAGGGGGAGGAGTGGGCAAGCTATCCTAGGGGGTGTGGAGAGGTATGATTGGCTAAAGGTGACATGATAGACAACTAGAAACTTTTTTTCCTTCCAAGGGGGAGGAGGCTGACATCCGGGTCTTAGTTGGCACATCAGGATGGAATTCAGGGAGAGCTGCCCCCTTTCCATCTATGGCACGGACTTTGGGGTCTGGTCTGTTCTCCCCCTATGGCATCTCTCTGTTCTGTTTGCATGTCCTTGTTTTTCCTTTCTCCAGCCTAACAGTATATAATTAAAAGGAGAACAACTGGGCTCTGACTTGGTCAAGATAAACAGACTGTAATTTCCTAGCTGTGGAGTTCCTTAATGAACACTAGCAAGACACTCATGGGCGGGACCAGACTGCCCACAAATAAATGAACATCACCCATCAGCCATTGCAAATCCAAGAGCCAGACCAGCACAAAGACCGTCATGAGGCACGAGGCACTCCACCCCTCCACTGAGGATCCCAAACTTTCCCCCCATCTAGATGATCTCCTACAAAGGAGACAGGCACAGGACAACTGTCTTGATGAAGAGTTAATTTTTGATTTGACTGAATGCTTACCTAACCCAATTGTTTTCACTAGAAAGAAAATGTCTAAAAGGAAATATCATGATATACCTTGAATTATAAAATTGAAGCTTTGTTCCTCATCCCAATTACCTTCACTGGGTGAATTGAGGGCTCAGGAAAATCTTGTCAGTTAGAGATAAAAAAAAAAAAAGCCACACATTCTTTGCATAGCTGTATAATGATAAATTTTCTGCCTTACAACCATAGCAGATAAATCATCCTTTACCTCCTAACTAGTTCTGAATTAAAATCTACAGCCAATCTGAAATCAACCTAATTAATCAATCTTCATGTGTTCCTTCACATTGATCATTATAGGGATAGGATAGAGTTTCAACCCTACCCGTGGTGTTAGAGCCTAAACTTCTGAGAAAAGTTATGTAGACAGGCAAAATAAGCTTTTGTAATGATGGAAATTTTAGCTGTCAGCATAACTAGCCATGTATTCAACACAAAAATATGTATGTAGAAAAAAAAGATATACACACAGTTTATTCTCCTTTCTTCTTCTCCCATGGTCCCAAGGAATTCAGACATACTTTCCTCTGTAGTCACCATGCAGTCAACCAATATCCAAAGTGTAAACTGACACCATGAAGTATTTCCAAATGGAACACTGACCAAAAATATGGCTGTGTAATAAGTTAAAAAAAAAATTTAAAGTAAAAAGTACCAATCAGGATATCCTTTAATAAACATAATACTTCTGAATGAAAATATTTTCTCTGAAAGCAATGTGAAATACCTTGTTTCTATTAATGGAATTTTCTTCCTTTATGTCTGTCTGGGAATGACTAGTTCAATGTCAACCTTAATAGGACCTCAGCTTTTGCATTGATCATGTAATAAAGGAATTTAACTTTATTAGATGTTATTTGCTCGATCTAATTACTATTTTTGAAATAAAAATAAGTAGTTACATCCTGTTGTTGTTTTTGTTTGTCATTAACTGATTACGAAGTGTTTCTTGGCTAGGAAGTAAGCTAATGCCATAGTAATTACTTAAATGATAGATTGGTGTTTAAGACTTACTGGGAAAAATTGATGGTCATGAAGACTTATTGACTAACTAAGACCAACTATTCTATCCGTCTTATAAAATCTCTCTCCAGAATAAGACAGGAAAGTATAATTGAAATATCATTTGACAAAGTATAATTTGGTCTACATATTCAAGTCTTTTAAAACACTATAACTGACATAGGGAGTATAGTCAATAATATTATAATAACTTTTTATGGTGATAGATGTTAACTACACTTATGGTGAACATCTAGTAATGTATATAATTGCTGAGTCACTATGTTGTACACCTAAAACAAGTATAATATTTTATGTCTACTATACTTCAATGAAAACTCAAAAAACAAACAAAAATAAATAGAAGGCAATTATGGAGAGGGGAAAAAAATAAAATCTGTAACTGGTTTTAAGGTGTACATCAAAATGAAAGACATGCTATAAGAAATCCAAAGGTGAAGTGAAATATATGAAATATTTTATTATTTTTCCCATGTGCAATTTACTCAAAAGAGCTCATTTGCCCCATGAAAAATAAAGTTTTAAAAAACTTTTCACTGCTAATACCACCTTCTACCTAGTGCTCCTACTAAACAAATTCTACACACAGCCATGGATAGTCACTCCTCTTTTTCTAGTATCCACTCTCACCCAATTACAGGTGCGTCTCTATTTCAAAAGCCTGCTCTCATAGGTTTATATAATGTAAAAACAACTAGAAGCAAGATAAAGATATCAAAGTTAGGTGTGAATTTATTGTTTAGAAATACTGTGACAAATTTAAGACAAGTAAGGAAATCATAAATGACCAGGAAATAGATCTGGTGGTTTCTTAGGTCCAAACAGTGGTGTTTCCTTTCAGATTTTAAAAGTTAATAGTTTAAAAAAGAGAAGTTAATCTTTATTTTGGAGTAAAATCCCAAAGTTAAAAATTACCAATCACAATAAAATTATAAAAAGTTAGGTGTGAAAACTTAAGCAGATTTAATTATGTTTTTGGTAATGTATCATGTTCAAAAAGTTGAAAACATGACTTTAATACAAACATAGAATAAATATGTGTCAAATATTTATTTAGCTCATTAATAGGGAAACAGTATGTTAAATCTGGTTCCAGCTGCAAAAATTCCAAAAATTACTAGTCAAGATATAAAATACTTGTTCTTTCAATTGGAATATTTTCCAATTCACTTGGACTCATAAATATACAAACCAGCCAACCCCAAACATTATCCTTGGAATATCTGGATAATCTCCAAAGATTATCCTTGGAAACAAAAGAAAGCTGGTCTCATTTTATCTTGACATGTGGGTGCAGCATGAGGTATTAATTAACCAGATCAGTCTCCTTGCTGATATCAGCTCATCTAAAGCCATATACTGTTGAACTACCCAGGCCAGAAAGTTAACTTCTGTGAAAATTTCATAAAGAATCTCAGACTGTGTTTTTTTTTAATTCAACATTATACAGTATTTATTTGTTCTTAAATTTTGGGATATACACAATGGACAGTCACTGTTTGCACAATGGTATCCATCCTTAGGGTAACACATAAAGTTCAGTATACACATAAAATCAAATAGAATACATTAATGCACCTGACCTATATTGTCAACATGGATAAATCTAACAACAATAAAGTTTGGTGAAAAAAGAGACTTGTATAAAGATACATTAATTTTTAGTTAATATGTTCAATATGCAAAGAATAATTTTGTATAGAAAGAATTATAAAGATAGGATATATATGCTCAGACTGTATTTTTAATAGCTTCTGTTATTCCAATGCAGTTTTTAAATTGGCTGTTTTTTTCCTGAGATTAAGAAATCAAACCCAAGAAATTCATCCCAGCAAAGTTCACCTGCAGGATCTATAAATTTGGATGAATTCTCATCTCCTTGAGGTTTCTAAAATACAGTGATATTTCTGGCCCACCAACGAGCGATGTTACTTATATCCTGTAAGCTCCAGAGTGCATATCAGCCCAATTTTCTGGGACTGTTTTATAGGGCATTGGTCTCACCTATGAAGTACAACCTTTGTTCCTTTATGATGGGCTTGTAAGAAGCAATGAAATGAGATTTGTTCTCATATAGTGATACTTACAAGTATGGCCTTGGTTGCACAATTTATTCAATTATATCCTGGTAAACGGAGGACAGATTCTCATTGAACTGGTACAACTAAGTATCCTTGCTATAAAAAGAGCTAAAAGCCTCATGAAAAGTATTTGTTCCTGAATTCTGAAACCTCAAGGAGAATGAATTACTATTTAAAGAATGTTTCAATGCAAATTACAAAAGCATAGTCTACTCAGTTGAGGGCTGGGAAGAGATCAAAAAGAAAAAGGTTTCCTCAATCAGAAAAAAAGAACACTAAAAATACTATAAGTAATTAGATTTCCCTCCTAGTTGAATGTTAGCTATTAGGTCAACAGTGTGGTTTCCATTCAGCTGTCCTCAGGCTAAAAAGAATATTGGTTTTTGTACCACCTGATACTGGTCTAAGTGGTAACAGTTTAAGATCCATACCCTACACCCATAGGTCTATATCTTGAAATATCAATAGTTAAGAGTACATGGTACACTCTGTATTCATTTTCTATTGCTATATAATAAATTACTACAAATATAGCAGCTTAAAACTTTCACATTTTATCTTACAGTTCTGTAGGTCCTAAGTCTTGGTGGGCTCAATTGTGTTCAAAGCTTGGGGATATCATGGTTTTGGCTGGGATGGGCTCTTAACTAGAGGCTCTGGGGAAGAATTCCACTTCCAACCTTAGTTAGGTTGTTGGCAGAAAGCAATTCCTTGCAACTGTCAGGCGGAAATCTTCTTATTGGCTGTCCACCAGGGCCCATTCTCTGGTCCTAGAGGCTACCAGGACTCCTTCTCACCTACCCTTCCATCTTCAAAGCAGCAACAGTGAGTTGAATCCTTCTCATACCACAACAATCCCTCGTTTTCCATTCTGCTACCTACTAGAAAAAGTTTCTGCTTTTAAAGAACATTTGTGATTCTATTAAGCCCAAGTGGATATTCTATTTTAGGTCAACTGATTGGTAACCTTGAATACTTCTTAAATCCCATTTGTCATGGAGCACATATATATCACATAACACATATACGTAAAAACATATATGTCACATAACACATAATCACAGACCTCATAGCTCATGACAATCACAGTCTTGAGGATTAAGAGGGAAATCTTGGGTGTTGGGGATAGCATTTTAGGATTCTGACTACCACATAATTCTTTTCACAAGGCTCTAAGACTTTATTTCTTTCCTTTTAGACTATTGTTCAGGGCAGAGCCTTCTGAGAAGAAAGAGAGGAAAGGAGAAGCTGATGTGACTGAATGTTTGATGAGAAGGGGAAAGAGTAAAATCTTCCATTGGGGTGTCACTTATGACTGTTTTGTATGTATCTGATCAGTTTATCTTATGGAAAAGAACATACTATGGGCAATGTGGGAATTGACAATTCTGCAGAGAAATATTCCGAGTGTTACAATTAAATTACTACTTTATAATTTCAAACTCAATAATCCTTATCCATAAATGACATTTTAAGAGCAGTTGGAGTCATTAAAAAAGATTAATATGGGAACAAAACAGCAGCAGAATCACAGAACCCAAGAAAGGACTAACGGTTGCCAAAGGGAAAGGGACTGGGGAGGATGGGTGGGAGGGAGGGATAAGGGGGGGAAGAAAGGGGGCCTTATGATTAGCATGTATAATGGGGGGGGCAACACAGAGAAGACAAGTAGTGACTCTACAGCATCTTACTACGCTGATGGACAGTGACTGTGAAGGGGTATGTGGGGGCGGGACTTGGTGAAGGGGGGAGCCTAGTAATCATAATGTTCTTCATGTAATTGTAGATTAATGATACCAAAATAAAAAAATATATATATATTAATGTGGGAAATTTGTACAGGTTTCATATTGTTCTTAAACCTCTCTCAACCACACAGAAGATGTTGGGTTTGAACACCAACCTCTTTCCAATTCACAGAGTCCCTTCTCCAGCCGCTTTCTGCCACCCCTACAAAGTATTTTAAAGAGAAAAAGCAGTTAAAGGTTTAGTTATACTCCATTTTCTTTTTCTTTGAGTTCTTGGTATTACAGTCACACCACATCATTATTTTCATCTGAAAAACCAACCAGGTAATAATTTCTGTTCTAGAATAGCTTCTTTGTAAAAGGAAGAAATGTTGTCCCCCCAAACTCTTATTTTGTAGTCCTTTGTTCACTTCTTTTCTTCTCCATGTCTCTCATTTTTAACTCACAATTGTATTATCCCTCCACATCATCCTCAGAGCAGCACAAAATGCCCTACATTCAAAGAGAACAAACACTTTTATTATTTTCTAAGGCCTTTGACAATGTTTGAAATCCTCACATTTATTGAGATCCCACAAGGCAAGAAGTACTACAGAAAAGGTGTCATCTTTATTTTCAGTGCTATTAATTACTCTCAGAAGGACACTCAACAGTAAATTATTACTTAAATAGTACTGATGAAAATACACAAATCCACCTACAGCTTTACAACTTATATTTTTGTGACTGCTGTCGGTGATAAATAACAATTTAAAAACAGTAAGTTTATTATTTTTATAATAATGAAGTTAGAGATCATGAAACAAAGTGACCCATGAGAGGTAGAATCTGTAGCCCAGTAAAAGTATATCTGGCACTGGACTTCCTCATTGTCTTTCCCTAGAAAAGCATATTCTGAACCATGGCACGTATGAGATTTTTATCAGAATTACGCAATATAAACATTGAAAGAGGAAATTTGATATGGCATATTGACATGATAAGTCACTATGCCAGAGATTGGCAAATTTTGCTGTAAAGGGTCAGATTGTG